TCGCGGCCATGGCACAGAGGAGGTCGAAGAGGGGGCGGTCCCCCACCTCCCACTCGACGCGCCGGAGGAAGGCCTGGAGTTGGGTGGACTGCGCGAGCAGGGCGAGGACGGAGGGCTCGCGCGGGGGGAGGTGCAGGGCCTGGGCGATGGCAGGGCCGATCAGCTGCAGGGCCCGCCGGAGGGCCGGTGCCCCGACCGCGCGACCCCCCTCCTCCCCCCCCCCACTCGTCAGCGCGCTGTGCGCCTGAACCAGGAGGAGGTGGATCGCCAAGGGCGTGTGGTGACGAAGGGCCGCGAGCTCCGCGACCCTCGCCATCGCCTGCTGGAGTGCCTCGGACGGTGGGGAGGGGTTCCCCCCGAGAAGCAACCCGCCCTGCCCAGTGAAGGTGTTGAAATTTCCAAACAGTTGGACCGCGATCGAGTCCTTCGCGCAGAACTCCGTAAAGGCCTCGTCGAAGCCGGTTTTGTGGAAATAGCTGAAGATGGAGACGCCGGGCAAGGGTCCTTCCTCAGACAAGGACATTCGCCGGCGACTGATATCTAAAAGCACGAGCGAGCAGTAGCGCTGGATGTGTTTGCCTAAATCCAGAGGGGTCTCCTGTGAAAGAGAAGAAGAACAGGATAACATATTACAACTATTAAGACATAATGCGAGATGAAGGCCATCCACATACATTGTGCATTCACTCTCGAGAAGCAAACGGAGGCCAGAAGCAGGGAGAAGCGCGTGGAGTAAAAAGGACGCCACCCGCGCTGTATCCCCATGCGTCATCGAAATCAAATCATGCAAATCATCGAGAATAATCTTTTGCGCAAAGGAAAGTGTCTGAACGGGTGGAACCTTCGCTGAGGGCTGCAATTCACGTATTGAGAAAAGCCGCATCCAAAGCACGTCTTCTAACGACTGCGCGACCTTGCTGGAGAGCTGCAGGAGCAGCCGCTGCGTTGTCTCGTGGCTTTCTCCGGTGGAGCCGTTGAGAAGTAAAAATAAAACCGCCCGACGATAAGCGTTCTCCACTGTCTGAGGCTCTGCATAAAGTTCACGGAGATCCAAAAGCGGCGGAAGGCGATGCCGCTCCATTGGTGTTGCCTCCGCAAGCCTTTTGAGCGCGCACTCCAGGCATTTATTACCAATCCGGCGGCTCGCCTCGATGGCGACGTCATAACGCCCTATTCGCATAGCATCAAAAACCTGTCCCCACGCATCGTTAGAACTGCCTTGACGGGAAATCATCTCCAGTACGCGACTAGCGGGCATATTCGATAACTCTTCCGTGCGAGAGGGATCAATTCGCATTAGACTAGTAAAAAAACGTGTCAGAGACTTTTCCTCCATCGCCTGTTGGCTGGCGGCAACGCAAGAAAGAAGATCAACAGAATCCACGCCACGTCGTTGAAAAGGTTCGAAAATCCTCTCGAGGGTAATATAAAGAACTGAAAACGCGTCGTTCCCCCCATAGACGCTCTCATCCTGTACGTAGGTGGAGAAACGCATCATCCACTGTGCAGGAGGGAAGTGCTCGATAATGCTCGCAAAAGCGATGATCTTTCGATGAATCTTATCTGCAGTAAGGGATTGGCTTCCAAGGAGCTGCGAAACCGCGCCAGCGGAGCTGCCGCTGGCTTGGAACTCCGGCGTGGCTTTGCCTTTCATCATCAGCGATGAATTAACAGGATCACCGCCGCGCATCGCGAGCACCTCTGCCTCGTCCGCAAGGCTTAAATAATAGGTTCTCCATGTCGCCTTGAAAAGCGCACTCTCCTGTCTAAAAACCTTCTCTCGCACCTTTTGATACAATGCGAGCTGCGTTTGCGCGAGGGTACGACTCCGCAAACCCTCCAGGAAGAAATCCACATCATTTCCCATCATCATCCTCCCGCAATCGCCGTAAACACCAGACGAAGCGTTATTACTATTATTATTATCAAGAATCATATTGGTCGTGGTTGAGAAAGGTTTGCGGCCGGTGGTGGTAACGGCACTTGCAACATCCCGCGCCATTTGATTCTGCGCGGCCTGGAGCTGATATAACAGCCGCTGCTGCTCTCGAATATCCAGATTTAGGTACCTTGACATAAAAAGTTCTACGGAGCCCTGTGAGCCACCGAAGATATCTCCCGCGGTGGCCCGTTTCATGAGCTTTCGCGAATCCTCCGCTTGCTTTTTCGCAAGCTCGCAGAGTCGGCGCCCGCTCCGGACGACACGGGGATCCGCCTCCTCGGAGACAAGCTTTTGCGCGCGCGCAGTGAGCTGGGCGAGGGTGGTTCGCACCTCATCGGTGGGGTCACCAGAAGGGCGGACGGAAACGCGCACACTCCGAGCCTCCTCCGCGCGAGCATTTCCTCCTCTTCGCATAAGGGGAGGTGAAGTTAAACCCACAGGGGCCTTATGTTCAATCGGGTAAAGGCTCATTATGTGACAAGTAGGCACACACGCTCCTTTTTTGTCTTACGGGTCTTTTTTTTTAATATCTGGTTTGTTTATATCTATTGGTGTCTTCTACAAAAAAGGATAGTATTCTTTCAGTGTAAGGATACTGGAAAATGAGGATAAGAAAAGGAAAATTATTTGAGCCTGGATAGTGGAATAGTGAATTTTTTTAATTACTTTAATGCATTTTTCTCAAGTAATCAATATTGAAAGGAAATAAATTCTTTTCATATTAGTATACTGATGAAGCCTTCTTCTATTTCTTCCTACTCTTTATACCGGCAGTATAAATTTCGGGTAGCATACTAATTTCTACCTTATAAAGCAGAGAACGCATACAAAACTAAATGATGAGCCTGTCTTCCATTTGTTAGAATAAAACAAAGAAACAAGTAATAGTTAAAATAAAACGACACAAATTCTTTGGCCACGTGATAAAAATAATTCAAAAGGATGGCTCAGCACCCTTTGATTCTATGTTTATAATCACGTCAAGCTTCATCATCTAGCCTCAGAAAGGTTAATTTGTAGTGATATCTGTAATTGTGGTGTTCAAAAGAGAAGTAGGAAGGAGATTCACTGCTTCCGTTTTCTTCTTTTTCCGAACTGACGCAATGACTGTATTACCTTGATCACAATCGTGTCCATGTTCTCCAGATCCCCCCACTTTGCGGCCCCGCTGCTCGCTTTCCAATTTTTGCTGTCTTCTCCTTAACACCTTCGTCAGCGAAATCGTTAGTGGATGATTTGAAAAAATCGGCAGATGATGCGCTAAGGTTAGAGAGCTACCAAATCTAATTACAGAAACATACCCGTCAAGCGAGGCGGTAAAGAGAAATCGCGCGTTTGTACCCCAACAAACATCTGTAATATTGCGCGCGTGGAGGTCTGTGAAATCGCTGTGTCGAACGCAGCTATCAGTGGTGTAAACCAATACCGAATCGCATGTCCATACGGCTAACGCCATGCGATAATCACTCCGCCCCCACCCTCCGTAGGGATTATCATTATTATTATTATTATTATCATTATCAATAGAGGTGGAAAAGTTCATCCTTTGCACGGGGCTTCCAGCCTGAGCAACGGAAGTTATGAATTTTGAATCCGAAGCTTCAAACGGTTTTGCGTGAAAAGGCGTCCCATTCGGAAGCTCACTGGTAAAAGGCAACCTATTAGTCTCTGCATCGGTAGTCTTCAGGGGGTTTTCAACCACAAGCGGTGGGGGCTCTTTGGGGGGTAAGGGTTCTAGAAAAAACGGAGCCCATACCACCCCGCGTAATTCATTGAAACCTCGAATCACCAAGCGCGCGGCAAGTTTATCGGGTGCGTTTCGTAGGAAAATATTCACGCAATGCACCATTTCCTTCTCCTCTTCATTGACATTTTTGGTGAAATGATCCGTCCAGGCGGATTTTTTCTTGCCGATTTTAGTCGTATGTCTCATTTCCTCAGGAGCAGCGTGAGTGTGATTTACAGCTGACGATCCGTTACAGATACCCACTTTAGTTTCCTGGGGGAATTCTTCATTTTCATGAATTGCCTCCTCGATATCGCAGACCACTTTTTCCCCTTCTCTTTTGTTCTTCACCGTAAGTTTGGCATCAATGGCATCAGAAAGCGTCATAGTCTCCATCTTATAACGGTTTATCATGGAAGTAGACGAGTCATGCGCAACTTTGCCAAAGGGCACCGCCAGAAAAAGCCCATCCGGCGACCATCCTATTCGCCGAAACGCGAGCGCGTCAGGCTCACCGAGGAAATCTCCCTGGCATCGCCGCTGGGAGGCCAGATGCATCCGCCCCCCTACCCGCTGCGCAGGGATATTCGTATAGTTCCACAACGCAGGCGAGGCGCCAAAACTGTGGAGGATTCCCCCCAATGGATCCCACGCCACCCCACAGCAGTACTTTCCGTGTTGATTCGGCCAAAACCCCACCGCGGCGGACCCTCCGGCCTCGACATCGTGCATTGCGATGCTGCCATCGCTCGCACCACTAAAAATATACCGCCCATCGTTCGAGAACACCAGGTCGTAGACATCACCCGCATGCCCCACAAGATGGCGATAATCCTTCCATTCCTCGCGAAACCCCCCGTTCGCTTCGTCGTCCATGGATGTCAAGCCCATCGTGTTGTGGGCGAGTTGTCTATTTTCCTCAACATTCTTACTACAATTTGCATTCTCGTTATGGGCGTTAGCCTTGCTATCCCACCAAAGGCAAATTCTCCCTTCGCAGTGTCCGCTTGCAAAGAGAGCACCGCTAGGGGACCATCGCGCCGTCAGCGGCATCCACATCGTTGTCATTTTCCCCAGATGTCGACAACAACGTGCCATCGCCTCGATCCTCGTTTGTGAATCGGGAGGTCCTTGAAGGCCTGAAGAACCTGTCAGGTGGTTCGGGCGGTTGGAAAGCCAGTCTTCGAGCGCGGCCTCGTCGAGCTGCCAGAGTCGAATGGACTGGTCGCCGCCGGTGGTGAGAAGACGGGGGCGGCGGGGGTGGTGGTCGATGCTGGTGAGGCCTTCCGCGAGGGCGGCACCCCGCAGGCCGAGCTGCTCGAACTCCTCACCGTTCTCGCGACAGTGCCAGAGCAGCTCCAGTGTCTGAACCCGCAGAGGGCACGGAGAGGAGGAGGAGGGAAGGGGGGGGGTGGGTAACAAGAGGTCGTCAGGGGG